TGGCAACAGCCAGAGAATCTGAATAGTTATACTGGAGGAGGAATCCGATTAGCTATAAAGCTCTTTTTCACAGATGCCCAAACGGGTTACTGGGGATGTCACATCCATAGGACAGAGCCCAAGTGACGTAACCACGGTCTCTTGTCCAACACACCAATTCGTTCTCCTGCAATCAAGCAGAGGCAAGGCTCGCCTTGAGGCTTCTGATCGACGTGGATCCTGGCCTTGTTGCAAGTTTTGGCCGACGCTAACCATGCTTTTACAACAACAAAAAACTCAACACATTCGTCACTATCACTGTGGCAATAGGTGACATGTATGGCAATGGGGCCCCTCTTCAAAGCACCTAATTATTTTACAGATATGTCCAAGCAGGTTTAAGACGAGCCTCTGGCCTGTGCTCATATGTTTTTTTGTGTTAAAACTAATTTCTTTGGAACTTATTTTTGTGTTTAGTTTGTTGTCGTTCCCTCGCTCCTTCGATAAGCACGGTTGGCTACGTACGGTGCGAAAGAAGTTCAACATACATACTTGTAAATTACACACATGCTAGAATGGGGGGGGGGGGGGGCGGTATTGGTTGATGAATGAATCGTTGAATTACCAATGCATGTGTTTTTAGGCATGTAACATGATAAAAACATTATATACACATTTCCTTGGCGTCTAGATGTAAAAAAATATTTCCCAGTGTGTGAATTCAGGAAACACATATACTGTGCAGGCCCACGGATGTGATTTCAAAAGCCTCTATTCACAATCACAGCCGTTCTCAACAGGTTTAATTAAAGTGTCACGTTGCTAACCTGCAATATATTTTAGAATTCCACACACAGAGAAAACTCATTACACTCCCGTGAAACTGTCTGCATATTATTAGTTTTGATATGACTTTGGAATTCTTCAAATTCTAAGGACTTATTGCAAGACTATCATAGCCACCCAACATGACAACACCAACCTCCCTCTTGCTGCTTGATGCTATATCAACAGCGTCAAACCAACCACATCGATATTTGCCAATAAAATGTAAATTCATGTAGTCCTCTACTTACGATGGAGATGCGTTACGACGACCCCATCGTAAGTCGAAAATATCGTAAGTCGAAGATGGCCTAGCCTACCCAGGAGTCTTAAAGAATGGTGATAATTTAGCAAAACAGAGCAATTTATAGTACCGTACTGTATAAACGATATACTGTATGTATTTATTAATTACAATACTGTATTGCACAGTAAAATGTAAAGTAAAAAAACAAGGTAAATTCTTAGCCTACCTATATGAACTGCAATTGAATAGAAAGTTTCTTCAGGAAACAATCCTATCTACTATAAAAACTTTTAACATGCATTTTGTCGTATCGCTATCGCCATCGTAAGATCAAAATATCGTAAGTCGGACCATCGTAACTCGGGGACTATCTGTACCCATTCCAAATATCAATATTTTCTGACTACCGTTGGGCCAAAAACGTAAAACATTATTCTTGGTACTCTTTAGTTCTTTCGGTAAAGTCACGTATGTAGAAAAATAATAATAATAATAGATCACGACGTTTCGATCGCCACACAAGCAACCGTCTTCAGGTGGGAGTGAGAAACAGGCTGCTGAAACAAGTCCTTAAATATAGAGCCGGGAGGGGGTGGGAGTTGCTGCATCGGACAAGAGAGTGGGGGCTGGAGCTTGTGTTGCGGAGGTGGCCATTGTATTGTGAGAGATTAGCATGTCAATGTGTATTTACGGTATATCAGCCACTAGGGGGATAGAGCGCTGAACAGGTTGAAGGAAAGGCGATCATCTCCGCACCTTTCCTTCACCCTGTTCAGCGCTGTCTTTCCTTCACCCTGTTCAGCACTTCCTTTCCTTTACCCTGTTCAGCGCTGCCTTTCCTTCACCCTGTTCAGCACTCTATCCCCCTAGTGGCTAATATACCGTCAATACATATTGACATGCTAATCTCTCACAATACAATGGCCACCTCCGCAGCACAAGCTCCAGCCCCCACTCTCTTGCTCGATGCGGCAACCCCCCCTCCCGGCTCTATATATAAGGACTTGTTTCAGCAGCCTGTTTCTCACTCCCACCTGAAGACGGTTGCTGGTGTGGCGATCGAAAAGTCGTGATCTATTATTATTTTTCTACCTACGTGACTTTATGGAAAGAACCAAAGAGTATGGATTCCTGCAGTCACGAAAGCTTCAAATCAAGATTATTCTTCTTGGTGAAAGTATAAACTGAGTTATGTATAATTAAGCTGTTATTGATTTTGGATAGACATTGTCCATCAGAAATACCTACAATATGTAGTATTCTTAGGTTTTTTCGGTAAAGTCACGTAGGTAAAAATATTAAAAAGTAAAATAAAATAAAAATCACGACGTTTCGGAGGCAACACAAGCTTCCGTCTTCAGGTGGTACCGTCACAGCCACGACGGCTGTATCAAGTAAATGAGAGATTGTAGGAGCTACCACTCCGTTTATATAATGGTGTGGTAGTTCCTACAATCTCTCATTTACTTGATACAGCCGTCGTGGCTGTGACGGTACCACCTGAAGACGGAAGCTTGTGTTGCCTCCGAAACGTCGTGATTTTTATTTTATTTTACTTTTTAATGTTTTTACCTACGTGACTTTACCGAAAAAACCTAAGAATATGAATCATTGCAGTCACGAAAGCTTCAAATCTAGAATTAATACAATATGTAGGTACCATTTCCAGCCACCATCATCATCACCACCACCACGATAATATCCACATGAAATCTTTCTGGAGGGTTGCTGCCTCCACAACTGCCAAAAAGCTCATTCCCACATCTCCCCAAGTTTTCTGTAGACCATGCCACATCCGTGCATCTGCCTCTATCTCGCATGCGCACCACATGATCATCCAACGCGACCTCATCTGCTGGAATAAATCACTAAAGGGATGATACCCTGATACTTTAAGTGCCTATGCACTTTTATAATCCAGCCTGGTTACGCCCATGATGGATCAAAGACAGACAAGCCTTAATATTTGAAGCAGGACCATGTTGCTTGCATAAAGCAGAGAGGGCATATGTCGAAGGTCACGAGCTTTATTTGGAACAACAGTCCAGCTACCATACCACATTATATTGCCAGCACAAAGATAACGCTATTTGCTTGATGTTAGATTGATACATCTGACACTACCAGAACTGGCCATGAACACACTGTCCAGATATGCAAACTCCTCCACACTTTTCCCAACCATTGATACATTAATTGGTGATGCTGCATTAGGAGCGATACACAAGCACAAATAACAAAAACACTCAACAAATCCGTCAATAATACTGTGGCCTTCAAAAGAGAAGGTATTATAACAGGTGATGTTTCAAGCAATGGCCTTTCTTCAAAGCGATAGAGGTCAAAGAGATTGGGTGAGGTGGAAATGGTCAGAGGGGACCTCTGATGCCAATGAAAAATCTGATACAAAACCAAACCAGTTGTGAGCATACTATTGGAGTACAGGCACTGCCCCACTCTCTCTACAGCTACACAGTCGCTTATGGAAAGGGAAGTACAATGTTTGATTGCACAAAGTACCGAGGAAGGCGTTTGTTTTGATGGGGCTAATGGTAAGGCCCCGCCTGTTAATGGCAATCTCTTTGTTCAGCTCTCAGCATTTATGATTCCTCGGACCCAGCAGTAATCAACATGGTTAACAAGTATGGAGCCATTCCTTGACAGCACCTGGGCATTGATCAAGCTTCCATGTGTATCTGTACCAGATAGAAATTCCACTGGTCCGATCCTGAAAGGCTTTTGTAACTACGTGGCCTAAAATGTTCATAGTGTAGATGACACAAGGATATCCTTGTTGCAACCCACGGTGTACAGGGAATTAATGGCTGTTACTCCCTGATCACCATGCCTTTACGTAGAATTAACCACCATCATGAAGGTATTTAATGATCATGAGTATGGGGTCATGGACCCTGAAAGAATGAATAACAACTCAAAAGCCCTGGCCTCTTGATGGTATTGTAGGTATTTAACAAGTCAATAAAGCAGACATATGAGATCCCTTTGGAATACATATATAGAATATGGCATCCATGCAGGACAGCATGGCCTGAAACCATATTGGGTCTCTACAAGCATCTCCTCGGCGTGCCTGGTAAGGCAAGGTTAAATAATTATTGCCGGTACTTTTTCCTGGAACACTGAGGAGGGAGATACATCGATTGATGTTACAATCAGTGCATCGATGTGTCTGCTTGGACAGGCATCTTAACATTATATATGTTTAGATTTCTGTATGACTGTAAACCGTTTTATACACCTCTTGTAATATATTCTTGTTGTCGTCAGGTATTGGGTGCCCATTATTCTTGATATGTGGCTTTGTTGCCTTCATTGCTTACCCCCAGTTTAAGACCAGGCCGCCAAGGGGGGATCAGAAACTAGTGGACAGCAAACACCAGGGCCTTGATTTCCCACAGCCCAAAAGTCCTGTTGCCTATAGGCTGCCTGAAGGACAGCGTAAAGCCAGCTTGGCTTAGTAGCGGGCTGATGTTCTCCTTTAGCACACGACAAGCCTTTTTTCTCATCAAGTATACCAATAAGCAAAACTGCCAATATAAAACTGGAGGTTTTGAATGTCCTGTAAAGGCATTGTCGCAATACCCCCATTGCCTATATGCTCCAAACATCTGCGTGCAAATATTTCAAGCAAAAACCAGCCCCGACTGATGATACAAAAACTAACCAATACAAAGATGACAATTTGACCCAGATTCTCAAACATCGTTTTCATTGTGGTACATTTGTTTAACCACCTAAAGAAATGTAAAAAAACTTGGAACGAGTTATTTAACCAAATAAACTCGCAAAGGGGGACACCATCCCAGCAGAACATTGGCTTATCACCCTTGTATATGGTGCCCCGGAGTCCACATTTAAATATAAAAGCGGTGATGCTGTGGGAGCGATGTGTGTACACTTGCGCGTGTGCGTGTTTTTGTTTTGACAGATGTGGACGAGTGCAGCAGCGCCCAGCAGCCATGCCCCAGCACCAGGCCCCTTTGTGCCAACACTTTTGGCAGCTTCAGCTGCAAGCCTGACTTGTCGTGTCAAGGTGGCTTTGAGCCAGACCAGCAGGGCTCTGCATGTGTTGGTAAGTTTTTCGAATAATTTTTTAATCAAATTATGAAACTGCAAATGAGATTCAATGTTAAATCTTGACTTAATGCTTTCGTGACTTCGGGAATTCATATTCTTTGGGTCTTTCGGTAAAGTCACGTAGATAGGTTCAAATTAATACAAAATTAAAATAAACAAAAAACTACGACGTTTCGATCACAACACAAGCGATCGTCATCAGGAGGAAAACAGAGCCTTTTTGTTAATTGTATTTTTATTCATTTGAACCTATCTACGTGACTTTTCCAAAAGACAAAAAGAATAAGATTACATGTTTATTAACTGCACATAGAACAAACGTGTCATTAATGTATAATTTGTTTAATTGTATAGGTCGTTCTATAAACAAAGTAACGTAGTTATCCCAATTAAAATGTGTTAATTAGTTAGATTTAATATAACTAATCAAATGACTGAAGTGACATTTGTTCGGCTTTGGGTTATTTGCAACTGTTGAAAATTGAGTAGTCCAAACTAAGTATGCCTGAAGGAACGCTGTGACAGAACTCTTCATACAAATGATGCAAGCATGACCGACAGATTATGCATTGACACTGTAGCATCATCTTCCCAAGCCACCACCGTTTATGCAATCTACCCCATTTCCTGAAATGCAAGGGGACTTGGCAATATATTGTGCTAAATACGATATTGAGGGTGCCCACGAAGGTGTCAGCCATTATCAATCATTAATAAGTAGAAGTTGGAGCCTTGGTTGATAGACCTACACACGCGCACACAATCAAAAAGTTGAAGATTTTATGGCACAAGCATCATCTCTCTAAAACCTCTGTGTGTTCGCCGCGACGTGGACGACGCGCATTGCATCAATGTTTTCAGAGGTCCAAGTCCAGCCGTTACCTGGCGTTTCTGCTCTGAGTGTTTTGAATGCCTCTGTTCTGTGCTGCTCAAGATCGCTCAAGATTTTCAGCTAAAAAAAAAGTGTACGTACATAAGGAATGTGTTGCCAGAATTTCAACCGTGCAGTTCAAACTGGTCTCTAATTGTAGTTCTTTAATGGACACCCTGCATATTTACAAAAAAATTACTTCATAAAGAAACTTGTGGGAATATATATTTGGATTCAGAACGAGGCTCACAGCCATATATAATATTTGAAGACCAATGTACCATGGGTATTCATCATACCCTATTAAACATGTGCCAATGCTATTGTTGCACGGTGCATGCATAATAAGCACTGTTAAACACCTGAATGCCACTTTTATCTCGGGGGATTATGAATATCTGTGAAAGATTACACTCCGCTTGCCCTGCGTTTGAGCTCAGTGCTGTCCAAACTGTCGTGTTCAAGTAAATTACAAACACGTCAATAATTTTTTGCACCATAATATAAAGAGTGTAAAAAATTACGTGAAGAATAAAGCATTGATAAATTGCTGCTGAAAATGCAATTTAGAATTTATTTTACGACATAAATGATCTCAATTGAATTACCAGCATTCTCACCTTTTTGTAAAATTAGTCATTGTGTAACCATAAAAAAGTTTTACTGACAAAAACTGCTCGTCACATTAATCATAACGCAGTACAATTTGGAAACAAATATTTTGTAATACAATATACAATAATTAGTGGCTTCTGTGTCTTGTTTTCCCAATAAGCTTGTTAGTTTAAATATCGCTTCTCAACATTTGCCTTTGTTGTGACACCTCTGTGGATTTTCTATATCACACTTACAGCTGTGCATTGTACCGTTGTGTGCGTTAATATCTGTACGGTGGAGGGGGCTGTAGCTTAAAGGGCTAGACATTCTTCCACTTGAACCCTTTGTATCACTCGAGCATGAGAAGAAAAAAAAAACCAAGACGGCATGTGTCAGAGACTTCCATCATGTCCCTTGGCCACAACACACGACGAGAGCTTCCGTGACCAATCAGCAGTAACTCATCCTGGCCATGTGGAATGTCAGAATACTCGCTTGAGAAGTAGCTCTTCAGAATAATAATATGTTTGGATCACTTGAATGCCTAAGTGGGTTGTAATGCTAGCACATTGGCAGCAGTTACTTGAAGGTGTAAGCCACATTAGGTCAATACTAATGGTGGGTGGGTGCCAGAGTTTTGTGCAAGCCAAGGGCTGGTAATTATGTCCACACTGTTCATTCACCAGCACATCCAGGATCGCGTACATGCTGCGTCCAGCCACTGACATCCACTGGACATACAAACCTACGTTCTTAAAACCATGCTGGTTCTATGGAGATGGCCTGTCCACTAACCGTTGGCTTGTCATTTGTGAGAGGCATTCGTTGTATTCCACAGTGGGAGTAAGGGGCCATGTTGGACGTATTCAAACCCACAATGTTAACTTGATCTCGGCTAGATGGCGAAGGTTGCAAGTAAGATATTGATCACTTTGCAAGTAATTATCAGAGGTCAAGTCTTGCATTAAGGCCAAGGTTTCTGTTGATTCTAAGCCTCCAGATAGGTATTGCCTGTTTATGGGAGTGGTTTTGGTAAAGTTGGACAACCATTTATGTTTTTTACAGATCTACCCATACAATTTTAATGCGAACCCATGGTTTATGCATGTGCATTCATCACAGACATTCTATAAGCCATACATGTGAGGTATGTATGGTTTGGTTATTTATGCATGTGTATATACACATGCCATAAGAACACTTAAAAAAACATTACTGGAAATCTGTTAAATACTGGACATCTGTAAAAAGAGCTTCATAGCTCATCGGATTTCACCAGGATAAACAAAGATTCTGATTATGATTTGATGCTATAGTGTGACTGTATCTGGTGTTCTGTGCGGCCTACACATAAGGAGGAATTTAGGAGATATACACCGTGCAGGGATTTTGCTTTATGTTTTCTGCCGATCAATTCACCATCATTCACCAACTTTAAAAAAGTTAAATAATTATCACGAAACAAATTATTTGGTGATACTGCATTGGCAAGGGTGCACAAACAGAAACAACAAAATTCACACATTCGTCAATAACACTGTGATATCTTAAGTAAATACGTGTATAATAGGCAATTGCTCTTCTTCATAGTACATAAACTAAAACTAAACCATTTTTATTTTTACCAGGCATGGCCCACTGAGCTATATAGCTATTTTACAGAAGCGACCTGGCGACAAATGATAGCTCAACGACTGCAAAGGCGGAACGTAACACTGCCGGGGCGATTTCCGCCAGGCACACTCGGTGCATGAGCGGAGCGTTCCAATGACGTTAGACGTCATACTTAGCCAATAGTAATCCCTCTGAAGGGTAGGCAGTTTTTCTGAATGCCAAGATGAAAAAGGCATTCAGAGTGCAGGGTGGAGCGACATGTCATCCTGCCACATCAACAATCCATCCAGAAAAAAACACGGCCCCCCTTAAAAGATTCGGGATCACCCCCAATTGGTAAGGCCTGATCACACAAAGAGGCCAGGGATGAGTCAGCAAATTGTTCCCACATCCACACCAACCGCGGAAGACGCAACACGTCGGCGGTGGGGGGCTGCCTCATCGTCAGGAAGCGTCTCAACGGAGGACACGGCCAACGGCCGAGACGTGCCCGGAGGAGAGCAGTGATTTGTACAGGAATGGCACGCACACTGAGACACGTGAGGTAACCGAGACAGCGCGTCAGCATTTGCATGATGAGTCCCTTTCCGGTATGTGACATCAAATGAGAACTCCTGTAAGCACTCCAACCAACGTGCCAACTGACCTTCCGGCTGCCCGATCTTCAAGGAATATTGGAGGGCAGTGTGGTCAGTGCGTATAACGAATTGTCTACCATATTAATAAGGCCGAAAAAGTTTAACAAAATGAACGATCGTGAGCAGCTCACGATGAGTGACACAATAACGAGTCTCTGCCGGCGAAAGCACCCGACTACCATATGCAACGACACGCTCGACGCCCCCCTTCACCTGTGACAGGACAGCCCCGATACCCGTGTCACTGGTGTCAGTGTCGAGGATGAAAGTAGACGAGAAGTCAGGGTAGTCAAGAGTAGACGCGTCGGACAGGCAATTACGCAAGGCATTGAATACAGCCTCCTCTGCCGGACCCCAACGGAACCTCTGATTTTTGCCCATAAGCGCATGCAACAGCCTAGCAATAGACGCAAATCCAGGAATGAACCGCCGATAATAGGAGGCGAAGCCAACGAAGCTCCAAACAACCCCATACACTCGCAGGAACTGGCCAATCGCGGACACACGCCGTTTTGTCAGAATCGATTTAAATCCCGTCGGCGCTCACAACATGACCCAAATAATGTACAGAAGTCTGCAAAAGATGACATTTGTTTGGTTTAAATTGAAGATTAGCAGAATGCATGTGCTCAAAGACAGTGCGAAGTCGGAGGAGGTGGTCATCAAATGTCCGACTGAAGACGATGACGTCGTCCAGATAAATAAGACAAGTGTCCCATTGGAGACCGGCCTGGACAAGTTTCATGAGTCTCTGGAACGTGGCAGGAGCAGCATTCAATCCCATGGGCAAACAGTTAAACTCAAAAAGACCCTGCGGGGTACGGAACACAGTCTTCTGCCTCGAGGACTCATCGAGGGGCAGCTGCCAAAAGCCGGAAGAGAGATCCAAAGAAGAGAAAAACCGTGCCCCGGACAACACATCAAAGGAATCATCCATCTGCGGCAAAGGATACGCGTCTGCCACGGAGACCTTATTAAGGCGACGAAAATCAAGGCAGAACCGTAGGATGCCATCCTCCTTCTTAACCAATACTATCGTGGCACCCCATGGGCTCATGGATGGTGAAATTATATCAGCGGCCAACATGTCATCAACGGCGCGCTGCATGCTCTCTTTTTCTGACGGCCCCATAAGATGCGGGTTCAACCGAATGGGGCTAGCATCACCCTTCTTAATGGAACAGCAAGGACGTCCGACCCAACTCGAAGTCGTCCTTGCTGAACACATCGGAAAACTCGGCCAACAACATATGCAACCCTTCACGCTGAGCCGGA